TAATGTAGGCCAGATGAAAAGCTAATGTGGGCTGAATAATTTCATATTAAAAATCCCGCGCGGGATCCAAAAAAATCCCGCGCGTTGCCCATCACTAGTTATAACACATACTCCGATATGTGAATAATTAGTAGAACCAATCTTAAGTGATGGGGAAAATTAGTAAATTCAACCATTGGGATACGTATAAGATGCGAAATTTCTATTGGTTATTATTTTCAATTTTTCAAAATTTCATGCATTATACAATATTATGCAAATTCTTCATTAGCGATAAAATCGCCTTTTCTGCAATGAAAGTCCAATGATATAAATTATAATCGCCAATATTCCAGCCCATGATAGATATAGAAACATTTTAACAGCACCAAAATATCCATATAATATTCCCCCGACAATCTGTCCAAGACCTTTCGCGCACACGTGAAATAGGCGTAAAAATTAGAAATAACTTAAATTTTTTTTTGTCTGGAAAAATTACGCGTCGTATTTAAACACTGACCTGAAGACAAACTTTCTGTGGCTGCAAGTATACCAAGTGCTGTAGCCCTCAATCTTGGTGGTGATACTTGTGAAATAATCTCTAAAGATGCTGGCTTTACTAATGCAAACTCAATTCCTTGGAGCTATGAAACAATAATTATTATAAGCATTAATAAATAATCATAAGTAATTATTATGACAGATCATAATGAAATCAGATCATAATGAAATTTAACTTATTTTATATACGATTTTTAAAATTTTTTGGGGCCTTTTTTTGTTAGGTTTTTTTTATAGTTAAGTTAGGATTTGGGGTTAGAATTATTAGGAAAAGAGTATAGGTGGATTTTGATAGGACTTATATGCTTAAATTGAGACCTTTAAATTTCATAATGATCTGATTTCATTATGATCTGCAACAATTATTATGTATTATTATTACCGTCTCGATCGGGAGAGATAACCAAGGATCCATAGTTGTACCAAAAAACGCGTACAACGCAACTCTAAGTGTGGTTGTAATTCCTGCTGCCACAACAATGACTTCTGGAAAAGTAAATTCTAAGACGTGTTTCCCAAAATAAAAAACTACTATCTCAAGAGTTACTCCTACGAAGGAACTTAATCCCAACAAAGAAGCATCGGCTTTAAGGTCCTCTAATTTGGTAAATCATTTGTTAGGATACAAATTTGTATTTTTTTTTTTTAAGAAAAAAAAATTTAATATTGTTTAAAGATAAAACCTGACAAAAATATATAAAGAAACGTTGATGTTGCCGTTTTCACCGTGTGCGTCGAAAGCAATACGAAAAGAAATAATAATAACCGTGGCTTTGTGATAAGTTGAGAGACCGCTTTTATGAAAGGTGTTGGTGCTGTTGCCATGATGATTGTATCTGCAACTTGTGTGGGTGTTTCATTTTGCGTATGTTCGAATTGATCGAGGCTTAATACTTCTATATCGTCTGCAATTAATTCATCATGATGATCTATCCTAAAGTCTCCCAAAGGTGTTAAATATATAACTAATAAAAATAGTCCCATGAAAAATCCAAACGTGAAAAACATGACATAAAGTGAATTCAATCTATCTATCAGAAATCCAAGCAAGGCTATTGAAATTCCGCAACTTATGGTTCCGAAAAGACGCTAGATAACATAATATTGATGACCAATATCATAAGTATAATTAATAATTGCTTAATGCGAATAAGACTTATTACCTGACGTCCAAATTCTGCAAAATCTCCTTTACGATTTAATACATCTATAATTTATCAAAAGACATAGGACTATTAGCAAGGCTTTTATAATACGTAAAATGAAAATGCTTACTCATGGTTAGATTATCGACTAATGTTGCAACTCCCCCATCAAAAATCGAATAAAAAAAAAGGTTGATAATAAGACCGCCAAAACCAAAGTATTTTCCAGTAAATGGTATAGACCAAAACGCAAATATAATACATGTGGTACATAAAATCATAATTGTGCGATGTAAATTCCGTTGATCTGCAAGAATCTTTAATAAAATACGTTCAAATTAGTTAGGGTTAATTACAATTGATCAATTTACTTTAATAATTCATCAAAATAGATTGGATCTTACACTCCAACAAGGCGAACTAACGAGCCCCACAAATGGTGATATGGACAATAATACACCAATAAGTGATTTTGGTAATAAAAATACGGTTGATAAGAATAAACTAAAGAACGTGAACGAACAATAAGCAGCAAGCAGGAAAAAATAACATAATTTTAATCTAATATAATGAAATGTCAAAAAAGGTCGTGGATATCGTAGTATCTTTTGATTAGGATCGATCAGAGAATAAGCACCTCGAGAAAACGAGAAAGAATTGAAAAATGTTTTGAGAGTCATTTTTGTTTTTATCAAATAGCCCGTGGTTTCATGACACGAATTAATCTAAATCTACACATGCAATAAAATTCTTTTATTGAGAAAATCTGATAATGATTAGATTGTTTAAAAAATAAGGAAACATCGATTAATCTAACCTTTAATATGTCAGAACGCAAAGATAGGGTTCGTTTTGTTAAGGCAAGTGAAAATTGTTCAAGAATGTTAAATACATATTCTGTGGCTTCTATGTATGTACATGTCTATCAATCAGTATTACAAACCGGTTTCGATGTTTCTTGTACTCAATTATTTTCTAAACAATCATCTATTCATATAAATATTTATTATGCATTTAAAAATTCTGTGTTTATGCATATTGCGTACATTATTCATTACCTCAACCAATCAGTGAGTGAATTACATTATTGCTATACTATACTTAGGGAATAACACACGGAAAATCATCACATTGGCATAGGGTGTGACACTAAAACATCACGTGCAAATAAATAACAACATGTCACATGTTATTATTTACTTTCATGTGATGTTTTATTGTCACATCCGCTTTCCCATTCCCTAGCGGGCATTAATTCTGATTGGTCAATCACTAAATGTATCGTCACATATTACTGTATTACACAGCATATAACAGCTGGCTTCGAACGAATTTATACTCTAACATATCAAATTAATCCAGAAGTTAGAGACGGGGTGCACTTTTTGTCTTATAGGTTAAGGTAATTCGGCAATTGGCAAGGTAATTTGTACCTTGGCTAATAAGTGTTAAGTTTTTTTAAAAAAACTTGAAAATAGCGATTCAACCAACAATATTTACAGTTGATTTTTCAATATTTTTTCTTAATATAGTTTATTCGACCAAGTTTCTGATAGCTACGTACAATATATTAGATATACAGATATAGAGTATACGATTACATGCTATGTTCTATAATTGTTTTTTTTGGTATGTGCGTGTATTATCTTTATTGATAGTTGACAGCTCTTTTTAATTACTTATACTATTCATTCTTTACCTCTTTATTGAACGAAACGATGTACTATTATGAAGCGACCTTGTTACTAAAGATTATCTATATATGTATTTAAAGACATTTTTTTTATTAAGCCTAACCAGATATGCATTTGATAATGACTATAAAGTTCAATGGGTTAGAAATTGTGATTTTAAATTCAACTTTATAGTTTAAATGTCTTTTTGTCTAATAATTTCTAAGATTTTTTTTTACTTCGAGCTTGTTTTCTATTAGCCAATCAAAATGAAAGCCCGCTATGCACGTATACTGATCAGCTATAATTCCTAACCCTAACGTTAATATATATAATATATAACGTCGGATCGGTGGGTTCTAAAATTCGGCCTATACTATACTGATCTGCTCACGAGTCCTATCTAAAAACTCATACAGGGGGATCCCCAAAATTCCGGGTCGGAATACATCGGAATCATGATCGGCAGGGCCGGAATTAACTA